TGCATTTCGTAGCATTTTTGTTTTCCACAACCATTTGTAAAGTGAAGTTGTCTTATATTATCCCGTAATCACCAGAAAACCTGCCACAAAGACATGATTCATGTCTTCCTCTGAGCCGATTATGACTATTTGTTTAATTCTCAGCCTATTTTTCACATGTATGAATGAATCAAAACTTTAGTATAAGCCTAATCCTGATTTCCACTTTCCACTCCTTTGCAAATTGTAAGTTAATGAGTAAGTTTTGGAACACTTGACATTTGAAACTTTTGGCATTTGACTGCTTTTATTTTGTTAAGTGCATTAAAGCTGATACATTTTTTGATAGAAAATTAAAAAATTCTTATTTGGTGAAAAAACTATGTGATGGAAGGTTTTAATGGTATTTTTGAACATAGCACCATCAAATTAGATATTATTAGGCTTTTTCTGCTTTTTTTCCTCAAGATGCAGGACTGTCTAATTATAATTGTGGTAAAATTGTGATGATAGAAAAATGCTAAATCTTAATGGTACTAAAAATAGGCTTCTTTTTCTTCAAATTAATATAATTCATTCCTATTTCTCTTTGATTTTGGGGTGAATTATGACCTGGACATGCTCTTGACAGATTTCATGAGATTCACCCATATATAATTTAAAACTCTCATAAAAACTGAGTTAGAGACCTAGAAAAACAACACCTCTGTAATAATTTATGAATTTTCTCTTGAATTTTTTTTTTTTAAATTCTCCTGGGCAATGTAGTACAGCTTTCCTACTGAATGGACGGGACATTCAGACAAAAGGCAAAATGGCTACAGATGTCTGGACACAATATGTTCAGTGTGAGTATGTCTTGGCAGGGCATGAGCTCTCATCTGCCATATGTCGCATGAACACATGTCAGTATGCGCCGCAGGGGAGAGAGTGGGGCGATCTGTCGTCCTGTCATTCCTGCGAAAACACAAACTAACACAATTTCTGCCCCACTTTGCATAAAGAGTCTGTGAACTTGAGAGGTTACTGGGCTCTTTTTCTCAAGAGATAAATCTGAGAAGCAAAAAAACGTTAAAAAGCTCTGAAGTTGCTTTCCTTTCCTTTCCTTTTTTTTTTTTTAATCTTTAAAAAAAAAGATATGCTGATTTACAAAAAAGGCCTAATATTATGTAATTTGATAATGCTGATAATGCTAAAGCTTTCCATTACGTACAGTTTTTTCCGCAAAATAAGAAAGCAAATGCATCATATTTTGTGAGAAAGTGTGACACGCTCGAGCAAAACAGGCACTATTTTTTAAATCAGCACCTCTAAAATTAGCAAGAAACTAGTATAGGATATAATTTCTCAAATATGATGCAGGGCAGTGTATTAAAAGAGTTCATATTTGTGTTTTTTTATGTGCCCAACCAAATTTTCAGAACTTTATTATCCACATTATTTTTTAATCTCTCAATTGTAAACAAAACCAGACTAACTTCACAGACAGCTGCATGGTTCTCCTCGTCTTGAGCCTCGATGAGCTCAGACAGGAAGTACGGCCCGTGGGACTCCACCAGTGGCGTGATCTGCTCTGCAAATATGTGCATGAGGTCATCGTGATCTTCCACTCTGGGGAATATAAAGTTATTGCGCCAGGATTTTAATACATCACTGTGCTGCAAATGCCCTGTATAAACTGTATATTGATATAAATTGTGTAAAGCAGGACAAAAACAGTCTAGACATGGATTATGATCGGCTTTACACTAGACGAAACTACACGACTGTCTGAATTTGATTGACACAAATGAGTGAATTTCACAGAAACATGGCTATGTCACTTTTCACCCAAAATACAAGAGAAAAATAAGAAATTATATTTTGCATAGAGAAAATATAACATATTTTAGACTTATTTTTTTTATTAAAATGAAGCATATTTCCTGCCCATTACAGTAATGTTTATAGATTTTTTTTTAGTTCTTTGATATTTTCATTGTTCTCATTGATGATTCTCATTAACTTTATCATTATTGCAAGACAAGTATAAACAGTAAAAATTAACAATTTTACATTACAATCAGCATAAATTAAAGGTAGTACAACTAATAGTACCATAATATAAGAATACTTTACAAATTAAATTATATATATTATATATATGTATACATATATATTTTTTTCTATTACTCATACAGTATTTGAATGACTTACTTTAAGGCTTTGAAACATTTTAATTGTTTCAATGTTGAATCTGAATAAATGACTTCTATATTAAAATAATTACAGTCGAATTAATCTAATTAATAAGTACAGTAATAATTGAAAAATATAATACAATATATAACAAAATATAATTGTATAAATGTATTTTATTTTAGCATTACAGTAATGTATTGCAAATGTAAATTTGGAAAATGTGCTTAATTCTCCTGAACATAATGCCACAATACATTGAAATATGACCCAGCCACGCACTTGTCGGTTTTCATGAGATTCACCCGTCCATAAGTAAATGAGAGGTTTACAAACCTGGCTCTGCGGATGCGAAGTCGAGGGCAGTAATTGTGTCGTTGACAAACGTAGGCCGAATACTGAACCTCCTCCTTAACAGGCATCACGGGTTCAAAGATCTTCTCCAGTGCTGCCTCTGATATGAAGAGAATTACAGAATAATGTTACTGTCAATGCCAGCACACAAAAAAAGTTCAAAGTAATATTATACTCATTTATTTCCTACCAAGTGAGCCTCTGTAGGGAGTCAGGAGGCAGATGTATTCCAGCTCCACAACGGCATTGAAAACTGTTCTAGAATTTACATAGGAAGGAAATAAAAATCTTTGATTATTAAATTTGATTGAATGGATACAGGAAGGCATTGCTATACAGTCAATACAATTTGTGCTGCCTAAAACAAGATCCATATCCACCCTAACCAAATAACAACAGAAAAATCTTGTTTTATTACATTAGGTATAAACCAATGAGCAGACTGTGTGTATTATTCAGCCTTATAGGTGAACCTCACAAAACCTGTCAAGAACATGTACAGGTCACATTTGTGACCCTGGACCACAAAACCAGTCATAAGTCGCTGGGGTATATTTGTAGCAATAGCCAAAAATACATTGTATGGGTCAAAATTATTGTTTTTTTTTTTATGCCAAAAATCATTAGGATATTAAGTAAAGATCATGTTCCATAAAGATATTTAGTAAATGTCCTACTGTAAATATATTAAAACTTAATTTTTGATTAGTAATATGCATTGCTAAGAACTTCATTTGGGCAACTTTAAAGGCGATTTTCTCAATATTTCGATTTTTTTGCACCCTCAGATTCCAGATTTTCAAATAATCGTATCTCGGCCAAACATTGCCCTATCCTAACAATCCATACATCAATGGAAAGCTTATTTATTCAGATTTCAGATGGTGTATAAATCTCAATTTCGAAAAATTGACCCTTATGTCCAGGGTCACATTTCACCTCAAAACCAAAAAAAATTAATGTTTTTGTGAGATTCACCTTTAAATGTTCACATCCATAAAAGAAAATACAAAGCAGTCTTCTTTTACCTCATTATCTCTTTAGCGCCCCCTATGGAGAAGCCAGGCTGAGCCACAAATAAACGCAGGAAAAGAGTGTTCATGGGCTGGAGGAAAAACAAACAGTCTGTCAGGGGGCTGTAAAATGGATATGTTAAATATTAATGGACATCGCGGTTTATTTGCTTTGCCTACAGTGAATTTCACGCCATTGACGTGATTCTGAAGTAAATTCTTCCAGCATGCCTGATCCACCAGCTCTTCAGTGGGGTGGTCTGAGAAAGATGCATGGGCCAAAACTTCATTCGTAGCGGTGCTCAGGGTCACGGCTAAATTTGCTTTCTCACTGCAATGAGAAATAGAAAAAAAATAATTCCATTCAATCAAACAAGTCTAAGCTATGAGCTATTTCTGATTATACTACATTATAATGAAAGTAAATTAAAGTACACTCTCGGAAAAAAACTAAAAAAGCTGTCACTGCTGCGCCACCTTTTCAAAAGGTACACTTCTGTAGGTACTAATATGTACCTTTAAGTGACCAATGTGTCTTTGAGGTACTGACAGCTTTTGTAACTTTTTTGTCTGAGAGCATAGTCTTACAAAACCAAAATAAAACCAAAATATATACATAATTTCACATGCATTCATGCATTAACATTAAAAAAATTAATAAATATTTTAATTTAAATGTAATTAAATTTAAATATTTGAACATTTATAAATGACTTCTATATTAAAATTATTAATCTAATGAATTTGTATATTTTTCTCAATACAAATAAAAAATACATTGAAATATAATTGTATTTATTATATTTAAGCTTGCAAATTAAAACTTATTTATAAAATGTGCTTAATTTATTTTATTTTTATTTATTTAATTTATTTTAAGAGACTAATTGCATGATCATTTTCATAACTTTTAACACTTACAGAAGATGAATGACATTGATTCTCCCAAACACAGCAACAGCTGCAGGACTGATCAGATTATTGACCTCTTCAGCATCTGACCACTCAGTTCTCCTCACAGTCACACTTTCAGCTTTACCAGCGGAAGAGGTGATGGTGCTCATTTGAAATCTAATACAATTAAGAAAATACGCAAACATGCTTAGATACAGACATCAATTGTGCTATAGCTGTAAAGATTTGCCATTTGTTTTTATTTGTTCATGTCTATACTACCAGACAAATGTTTTAGACGCACACATAGAATTGCTAAACAAATCAATAACAAATCTTTAATTTCAGCTTCGTCGCTTGTACACAACAATACATAAGAAAAACAATGTTCATTCATTTACATTTAAGAAAAAATACAATATAAAAGCACTATAAAACAGACCTTTCGTGTGAGAATACTCAAAACCTGTTTTTAGCAAGAAGTATGTTTCACATAAACGTTCATCTGGAGTTACCTCTAACCGTTAGCGAGCGTCCTGTAACCATGGTGACGGGGCTCCGTGACGTAGCTCCAGTCAAAGGTTACCGTGCGTCACGTTAAACGCGACGCGCGATACAAGGCATTGAAACGTCGCTAAAGTTTTAGCGGCGTATCGAAGTTTAAAAACGTAAAGAAATACGCAAAGTTGCCTTATAATAAAGTGACAGGAGCGTAATAATCATGGCGTCCACAGCGGCGGGTAAACAGAGAATCCCGAAAGTGGCAAAGGTAAAAAATAAATAATGTTTAGCGAGTTAGCATTAGCATGTAAACTACGTGAAGCGGTCGTGTTTCACTGTAAACATCTATTTTATAGTATTTATAGATGTATATTGTATATTTGTATTTATTTTGTGTTGCGTGTTCAGGTGAAGAACAAAGCCCCAGCAGAGGTGCAGATCACCGCAGAGCAGCTGCTCAGAGAGGCGAAGGAGAGAGAACTAGAGCTGCTGCCTCCGCCACCGAAACAGAAGATCACTGATGCAGAAGAGCTCAACGACTATAAACTGAAGAAGAGGAAGGTACGAGTGCTATATGTTCTGTATATGACCACGACATATTTGGTAAAGTGCATAATGGTATCAAATGGTAGCGCCATGGTACTTTGATGCATACCATAGTACTTTGTGGTTACTATATGCATGTACCGTGGTTTTTCCATAATGTCTAGCAAACACGACGTTACCAATGTACATGTACAGAAAACATGGTATTGTCAAGTCGCATATTTATTTATATAGTGCTTTATACAATACAGCAGCTTCTCATTAATATACTGGAAAGTGTCAGTCAGTTATGAAACAACTTCAAAAGACAATAGTGTCATTATTCAGCTCAGTTTAGTTCTGTGTTGATTGAATTCAGATCAATATCAGTGTCCTGTTGCAAAAGGGTCATGTGTTATGAAACAAATTCAATATTATCATGGTATGTGCCACAAAAATGCAGTGTATATATACATGATTAATGCTTTAAAAACATGTCAATACCATGGTACATCTCCAGAAAACTTAGTATTAACATAGTGTTAATATATACAGTTATATATTTGGACATTAACATGTCCAAAAAACATGGTATTACCATAGCATATGTCCATTAAACATGGCATTGTCATGGTATATGCCTCAAAAGACGTGGTATTACCATAGTAAAAGACCATAAAGCATGATACTGTCGTGGTTCGTGCCCCCAAAAGCATAGTATTATAAATAGACATGCCATAAAACATGGTGTTGCCCTGGAATAGGCTTAAAATATTATGACATTACCATAGTGCATGTCCAGAAAACATAGTGTTGTTGTATGTGACCCAAAAATATAGTATTACGGTGCCATAAAACATGGTATTACCATGATACATGCTATAAAAACATTTTGTTACCATAGGTAAAACATGGTGTATTACCATAATACATGTCCAGTAAACATGGTATTACTATTGTCATGTTATGTGCCACAAAATCATAGTAGTATTACCAAGGCACATGTCATAAAATATTGTATTGCCGTAGTACATGCTTTAAATATATTGCATTACCATGGTACATCTTCAGAAAACATGGAATTACCATAGTGCTTGTCCAGAAAACATTGCATTGTCATGGTATCTGCCCCAAAGACATAGTATTACCAATGTATATGCTTTAAAACACAACACTACCATGGTGCAACTCCAGAAAACATGGTATTATCATATAGAAAAACATGAATTTGCCATGATCCATGCTCTAAAACTGGCATTGCTATGGTACATATCTAAACACATCCAACTTTTTTCTCTCAATACAGGGGTTTGAAGACAACATCAGGAAGAACAGAACTGTCATCAGCAACTGGATCAAGTACGCACAATGGGAGGAGAGCCTGAAGGAAGTCCAGAGGTGAGTTTCAGTTCGGTGTCCAATGACTGAATCGTAGACTGGAGGTGATTTCTGTAACTGTTTTTATTGCCTTCAGAGCTCGCTCTATATACGAGCGTGCGCTCGACGTGGATCACCGCAACATCACGCTGTGGCTGAAGTATGCAGAGATGGAGATGAAGAACCGGCAGGTGAATCACGCTCGCAACATCTGGGACCGAGCCATCACCATCCTTCCCCGTGTCAATCAGTTCTGGTATGCTTCCTCCTCATGATCATACAGACATTCAGACAAAGATACTATGTGATTTTGTCTCCTGATTCATTCTTTTATTCATGCATTTATGCACCAGGTACAAGTACACCTATATGGAGGAGATGCTGGGGAACATTGCTGGCTGCAGGCAGGTGTTTGAGCGCTGGATGGAGTGGGAGCCAGAGGAACAGGCCTGGCATTCGTACATCAACTTTGAGCTGCGCTATAAGGAAGTGGACAAGTCCCGCAGCATCTATGAGAACTATATCCTTTCATAAATAGCCTGTTTCATCAGCAGTATCCGGATACATACAGTACACTCATATGAAGCGATGTATACTATATAGCAAATCTCAACTGCCTTATTCATTTCATTGCAAAATGAAACTACAGTGCCGTGAAAAGGTTTTTGCCCCCTTCCTGTTTTTTTTATTTTTTGCATATTTGTCACACTTAAAAGATTCAGATCATCAAACCAATTTTAATATTACGCAAAGATGGCCAAGTCAAAGTCCATACTTAAATCCGATTGAGATGTTGTGGCATAGGGCTGGACAATAATTCAAGATCAATATGTATCGCGATATAATTTTTTTCAATAACGGTGATATGCTTTTAAGTGTGGCAAATATGCAAACAATTAAAAAAACAGGAAGGGGGCAAAAACTTTTTTTATAACTGTATGTTATCACCTAAATCTTAATATAAAGTTAGATATATAAGTATATCCAACTTCAACTGCGTATATACAGTATACTACTTGCATAGGGCAATATACACTATGGTAAATCTCACCTGCTTGATTACTTGTATTGTGGCAAAATGTAACTATATTATCGCCTGGCTTTAATTTGCTAAATGCATAAAGCATGAAGATATTATAAACATTAACAACATTAATTTCTGTAAAGCTGATTTGAAATAATGTGTATTGTGAAAAGTGGCATACAAATATATTTGACTTGAAATGCATAAAATATATATAAATAAGGTTTATTATTTTCTATTACACTACCAGTCAAAAGATTTTTAATGTTTTTTAAAGAAGTCTCTTCTGCTCACCAAGCCTGCATTTATTTGATCCAAAGTACAGCAAAAACAGTAAAATTGTGAAATATTTTTACTATTTAAAATAACTGTTTGCTATTTGAATATATTTTAAAATGTAATTATAATGTTACAAAAGCTTTTTTATTTCAGATAAATGCAGATCTTTTGATCTTTCTATTCATCAAAGAATCCTGAAAAAAATGTACTCAACTGTTTTAAATATTGATGATAATAATAATAATAAGAAGAAATGTTTCTTGAGCAGCAAATCACCATATTAGAGTGGTTTCTGAAGGATAATGAGACACTGAAGACTGGAGTAATGACGCTGAAAATTTAGCTTTGATCACAGGAATAAATTACATTTTAAAATATATTCCAATAGAAAACAGTTATTTTAAATAGTAAAAATAAAATTCACAATATTACTGCTTTTGTTGTATTTTGGATCAAATAAAGGTAGTGTATATTCTTATTTTAGAGTGAACAATATTTGAGAGAAATAGGCCTTTTGTGTACATAGAAAAAGTCTTAGATCTTTGAGTTCAACTCATGAAAAATGGGGGCAAAAACAAAAGTGTTGCGCTTATAATTTTGTTCAGTGTATGTTAATATTAACACTGTGTGTGTGTGTGTGTATATAATATAGATATATAGATATTGTTCATTTCATTCTGCCTAGTACAGTATTTTTATGAATGCTTTGTAAATATTTTAATAAATGACTCCTTCAGGAGTATGTATGTTAACCTTACACTATTTGTAACAACAAAATAAACAATTAAATAGTAATTATTTAAATGACCATTAATCCTTACTCAAAATTTCATAATACTTACTCTTAGTTCAGATTAAAAAACATCCTTTTGGTCTTTGTTAAAGCAAGTTGTAGTTTTAGCCTTTTGCAAAGCATCAGTATCTTACTTAATGACTGTGTTTCTTATTAACATAATTTTCTGCTGTATAGGCAAGCCCACACAATTATGATGCATGGTTTGATTACCTGCGGCTGGTGGAGAGTGACACCGATGCAGACACGGTTAGAGAAGTGTACGAGAGAGCCATAGCCAACATACCCCCCATCCAAGAAAAGAGACACTGGAGACGCTACATCTACCTGTGGATTAACTACGCTCTCTATGAGGAGCTGGAGGTCAAGGTATGATAGATGTCGGTGAGCTGAAATATTCAGCATTCATTTGCATGTACACATTTAGAATTAGAGTTTGATGTATTATGTTTTTGTCTGATTTGTTTAGGACCCTGAGAGAACGAGGCAGGTGTATCAAGCGTGTCTGGAGCTTATACCACACAAAAAGGTAAAACTGTCCTTCTTAATGGTGGTTAAAAACACTATTTACACAACCTCATGTCAGTTTTTAGTGAACCAGTCCTTAAAATGTTAATTCTGCCCCCTTTTTGCAACAGCTGAAAATAAAATAAAAATGTTGTGCTTGACACTGTATTTTATCTGTGAAATCCTATATAGGTACCATTTCTAAGTTTAATTTTTATGAATTGTTTTCTAACTATAGCCTATATATTTTTTTATACTCAGTTTACATTTGCCAAGATTTGGCTCTTATACGGACAATTTGAAATCCGACAAAAAAACCTCCAGAATGCTAGACGAGGCCTGGTAAGTGTTTCACTCTGAAACAGATTTATATACTTTTAGACTACTGTTCAAAAGTTTGGGATCAGTATTACATTTGAATACATTTATTCAAAAAGGATGCATTAAATTGATCAAAAGTGACATTAAAGACATTTATAATGTTGCAAAAGATTTCTATTTCAAATGAATGCTGTTCTATTTATCAAAGATTCCTGGAAAAAAATCACTGTTTCCACAAAATATGAAGCAGCACAACTGTTTTCAACACTGTGATAAATGTTTCTTAAGCAGCAAATCAGAATATTAGAATGATTTCTGAAATATCATGTGACACTGAAGACTGGATAATGATGCTGAAAATTCACCTTTGATCACAGTAATACATTTTAAAATATATTTACAGAAAACAGTTATTTTAAATACAAATAATTTTTTATTCATTTTTTATTTTTGATTAAATAAATGCAGCCTTTGGAGTATAGGAGATTTCTTTCATTTCTTTTAAAAAATGACCCCACACTTTTGAATGGTAGTGTACTTTCTACACATTGACCTCTGACCTCTCTCCTGTCAGGGCACAGCCATCGGAAAGTGTCCCAAAAACAAACTGTTTAAAGGCTACATCGAGCTGGAGCTACAGCTGAGGGAGTTTGACCGATGCAGGAAGCTCTACGAGAAGTATCTGGAGTTCAGTCCAGAAAACTGCACCACCTGGATCAAGTTTGCCGAGCTGGAGGCCATCCTGGGAGACACAGACCGGGCCAGAGCCATATTTGAACTGGCCATTGGACAACCACGACTCGACATGCCAGAGGTCAGAACTTCACATCTCTCTCTCTTTACAGTTATTGGTTCCTTCCAAGTTTTTTTCCTCCATATTCTCACTATATCATACTATATGAGCCATGAAAGCCTGATGTTTCAAATATGATACTTAAAGGGTTAGTTCACCCAAAAATGAAAATTAGCCCATAGATTACTCACCCTCAAGTCATCCTACGTGTATATGACTTTCTTCTTTCAGACGAATCCAGTCGGAGTTATATTAAAAATTGTCTTTGATCTTTCAAGCTGTTTCATGGCACTCAGCAGGTGTTGCATGCATCAGTCCAAAAGCACTTAATTAAAATGCGCCCATCCATTAAACAAAAAGTGTCTCACATGGCTCCGGGGGGTGAACAAAGGCCTTCTGTAGCGAATCGATGCGTTTTTGTAAGAAAAATATCCATATTCAAAACGTAATAATCACTTTAATGTCGCTTGCACTCACTGTTGTAAACAGAAGCAGTTCCGGGCTGATGATGTATGAGGTCAGCTTTGCGCATGCGCCGCTCAAGCACTTGTTAACATTTAAAGTTTTTAAAAAAATTATTTTCTCTTAAGGTTCAATAAACTTCATTTTGAGAAACATGTCAGACTGTTGTTTCATGTCGAGCTTTACAGGGTTAAAACAAGTCATTCTTAACTGTTTCTCCATTGTATTGTTTACATCAGGTGCTGTGGAAGTCATACATCGACTTTGAGATCGAGCAAGAAGAATACGACAACACACGAGGACTTTATAAGAGACTGTTACAGCGTACTCAACATGTCAAAGTAAGCCACCAGAATGACGGCAACACAACATGCTCATCCTAAATGAATATCTGATGCATTTGTTTCCAATCTGGTTGTATTGCAGGTCTGGATCAGCTATGGCCAGTTTGAGCTGTCCATCGACAGTGACGACCGCATACAGCGTTGCAGACAGATCTACGAGGAGGCCAATAAGAGTATGCAGAGCTGTGAGGAGAAGGAGGAACGTCTGATGCTCCTGGAGTCCTGGAGAGACTTTGAGGACGAGTTTGGATCGTTCGCCAACAAGGAGAGAGTCCGGAAACTCCTGCCGGAGAAGGTGAAGAAGAGGAGGAAGATCACAGCAGAGGACGGGGTGAGAGTTTATGCCGCCTTCTGTCCTGTTTGCTGGATTGTTCTGAGATTGTGGGTGTAGGTTTTTTTTCTTACATTGAGCCATCATAAATATTGAAAATTAATTTAATTACTTGCATGCACACATTTTTGAAGTGACACTTGTTTTCTTTATGCAACAATTAGAAATCCTGACGATGCATGTGCGCTAATCTTGAAACGTGAAGATTTGAAATGTAAATTGTTTCAGTCAAGAATTTGTTTAAAATTCTAAAAATTAAAACCTATGAATCATTAATTGAATTGAAGTTTCACACCCCTATCAACTAGTCATCCCTAACACATTGTCTTTTGTTTATTAGTCGGATGCAGGTTGGGAAGAATATTACGACTACATCTTCCCCGAGGACGCTGCCAACCAGCCCAACCTCAAACTGCTGGCCATGGCCAAGATGTGGAAGAAACAGCAGCAGGATGAGGATGAGGAAGAGCAGGAAGAAGAAGAAGAAGGACAGCAGGTTCCTCAAGGGAAGGAAGCACAGGAGAGCCCAGAACCAGAGGAGCAGGGACCTGCAGCCCAAAGAGAACAGCCTGAAAACGAGTACGACGATCGCGACGATGACGAAGAGAGCAGCAGCAGTAGTGACAGCGAGAGCGATGGTGGTGACCGCCAAGATGACAAGACGGAACAAACAAAAGCGGACACAGAAAATCACTGACCTGGTGTGGTGGAACTTAACACGTTATTTGTCTCCATTTCTTTCTGCCTGTCTCTTTTCTTTTGTAACAAAATAAAGGTGTGACCCAAATGTGCCAATCACTTACTGTTATTCAATATGGCGGCCCCCAAACAGATCGTCGCTTACATTGTAGTTGAAGAATCAGAGGGAATCATATTGCAAATGTTTGCACAGTTGTCATGTTATTAATGATGATTGAGCAAACAGAGAGTTTTCTGATGCAGTAAGAATGCAGAGGCTGAGTATTCTGCGTTTATTGAATTTATTTACTGAAGCTGTGCATGGACATGTTTTGACACATTTACAGGAAGAAGTTTATTATGATTGTTTATGTCCATACAGTGTTACCCGTCTTATTTTGACAGCCTTTGCAATATTACAGGCAAAACTACCAGAGAATTATCGGAGGCAAAAATATTACAGCAGAAACGGTCTATGACCCTACCATTTCATGTAACTACAGTCCCAAAGTCCTTTAGTTTCAGCTTTATTACCCCAATTCATTCAAAGCAGTGGCTCTCTGACATTTCAAATCAATTTTGCGATCAAAAAAAGCCAATGTCTGTTTTCCCAGATGGATGTTGAGGATTTCAGAGAGCCACATGTTAGTGTTATTCAATATCTTCTGGCCGGACTGGATGCGGAAGCGGGATTATGGATTTCTTCTCTGCGTCTCTGGATAAAGCTTTCCTCATATCTATCAAATGAAAGAACAGTAAAATAAGATTTGTACATTTTCTGAAGAAATGTGAGTTTAGCTTGCAAAAGTTTTTACTGTGATGTTTTACTGCACTGGCAATGTTGCAATTTAAGTGTCTTTTTTTTTTGTCCTTATTGTTTGCAGGTGAAAAATGTAAGTCTGATTGCATGGTAACATTAACAAGCAGCATAAATGTTGCAGGAGGACAGGTAATAAATTTCTTTCAAATAAAAAATTGTACCGACCCCAAACTTTTGAACAGTAGTTTAATGATCACACAAGTAAAAAAAAACCTACCATAAGCATCTTCGTCAGGTTCACCGTTACTGGCCGAGTAATACTCTATAACGGTTCTGTACACGCTGTAGCCAAGCTGTTTGTACATTTTCACAGCAACTTGATTAGAAACTCGCACAAAGAGATCCACAAAGAATCCGCCCTTCCTAAAAAAACGAGAAACACAGAAGAACTCATTTCGAGTCCGGATACACCAATACTGTGCAAATACCAATATTTAATGTCATGTTATGGCTGATAACCAATTATGATTTCAGTTTATACTGTTCTGCCTGCTTTTATTTTCACATGCATTTATTTAAAGGGGTCATATGATGCGATTTCAATTTTTCCTTCGGCCGTTCCTCACTCTAGCCGCAGGCCTCTGCTCACTCAAGGCCGTGGTGTGTGACGCTGTGTTTCGTTGTGAATGCGAAACTACTTTGTTTGGTCTTCCAAAAGAGGACACGACTAGAAATCAGTGGTTAAGTTGTATTTACAACACTGTTCCAGAACAGTTCAATTGAACTTTAAACCGCATAAACACATTTCATTACACCAAATACACAAAATAATGTTATTTTTAGCAACATCATATGGCCCCTTTAACAGATGCTTTTGTCTAAAGGAAATTACAAATGAGTGATGCTACCTTTCTGAGATCTTCTCTAACATCTCCATGAGTTTGGCAGCCAGACCCAGCCGCCTGAACTCCGGTGCCACAGAGAGGGCAGTGACGTGCCCGTGCCATTCCTCTCTAGCGACGGACCCCTCTGCCTTTCCCATGACTACGAGATGACAATTGACATACAGGTTAGAATTACTCCCGTCTGACAGTTGTACATGAAATCAGAATTGATCCTAGTTACTGTTTTAACACATGTTCCTAGTCTTAGTGTGAGTGATTCATGTTTTTCTACTGCATCAAAATGTAAACTTTTTCTGCCTCCAAAACAACTTTTCTTTTCAGATGACATCATCAGTCCCTGTTATTATTGAGCCCTTCAACCAGCTGAATACATTCTGGTATGCAGCATCCATTTTTTCACACAGGAACATGCCAGATTTCGAAGTAAAATGACTTTCTATATTCTACAGAAGAAAGTAAGTCATATGGATTTGGAACCACATAAAGGTGAGTTTTTATTACTCTCAATGACAATGTGACAGATCAGAAAGAGACACATTTGACTCACTGTAGCCCATCAGTTCACCTCCTGGAGCCTCTGCTACTATGAAATACTCCGGCCAGTGAGCCAAATACTGAAGATAGAAGGGAATTCCATACTGTGTACAATAAATGAAAGTTAAGTTATGAATAATAAAGAGAACGACGACCTAGTGACATACTGATTAACTGATATTTTGGTCATTTTGAGATGTGTTTTAAAGGATACAGTTTCTGTCAAGGGGTCCAGATTACTGTGGGATGAAAATACACAAATTAATGTAAATATCACAATCTCATATGATGAGCAGCATATAGAAGCAAAACTAAGAGAATTAAACATTACAGTCACATGTGGAATAGCTTAAACCGCTTTAAGCCCCGTTCACACCAAGAACGATAACTATAAAGATATATTGTTCTAAAAATCGTTCTCAGTATTAAAGAATAGAAGAGTTCACACCACAACTATAACGATAAAGACAAAGAGAAACGATATCGTTGGAATCACTTTCAAAACGATTTTTCTCCAGCTGATGAACGATAAAAAATTGACAGCCAATCAGAATCCATCCTGCTGTAACGAGCTCGAGGATTTAAAGCGGCAGACAGTAGTTATCGTTCTTGGTGTGAACGGGGCTTAAT